GCTGAAGTTGTGAGGCCTGAGGGAGTTGGGCAAGTCACCCCCATGGAGGACACTGAAGCCCAGAGAGTCAGCCAGCCAACAGGAAGCAGAGTGGACAGGGACCCAGGCCTCCTGGCACCTCTCCAGAACTCCTCCCACAAGCCCAGGCACTCCTCCACCCCAGCCAGGGCTGCCACCATGCTGTGGGGTGCACTGGGTGTTGAGGCTGCCAGCCAGGCCCAAGGGAGCCTCTGAAGGGCTTCTCTCTTGGCTGCCATAGAAACAAGTGACCTCAAGACAAAGGTGTCCACCCTGGAGGGGGAGCTGAAGCAGCAGCGGGAGTCCACGTGGGCCGTGGGTGAGGAGCCCTGCCATGGAGCGCTGTACCGTGTGCCATGTGCTTGGTGGCTGAACCAGCACCCTCTGTCTCCTGGGCTTCTGGGGCAAAGCTAAAGGGAACCACAGAGGAAGCTGGGTCTGACAGGCCACACTGTTGGGTGATGCCACCTCCCACCAAGACAGTACCTTCTGTTTTCAGAACCTACCTCAGGCAGGGTTCAGAGCCCCATTTTGTGGCTGAGGACACTGAGGCCCAGACATGTGCTGTGACCACCCCCCCGCTTCCCAGGTCTTGTCCTGGGTCAGAGGCAGTGCAGGAACTCCCCAGGGCTCCCCCGCTCTACCCCCTCCCCCGCCCGCTCAATCCTGCAGAGACGAAGGCCCAGGAGCTGCAAGAGGAGGCTGAGCACAGGGCGGAGGCTGAGAGGCAGGTGCAGCAGCTGGAAGAGCAGGTGCAGCTGCTGGCAGGGCGGCTGGACGGAGCCAGCCAGCAGATCCGCTGGGCCAGCACAGAGCTGGACAAGGAGAAGGCCCGTGTCGATAGCATGGTCCGCCACCAGGAGGTGAGGTCAGCGCCTGGTCTCCTGCAACGAAGGCTGCAGGGAGAGAAAGGGCTCCACTGACTGGGGGGAGATACTGGAGACCTAAGGAGAAGAGTTCCTGAGTGGCGACTGTGACTGGAAAGAAGTGGGGGCGAGGTCTGCTTTCCAGGGGGGGTGGGATCTCCAAGCTTGGGGGTCCTGGCCTTGCCAGGGTTGGGGTCTGCTCCCTTCTTCCCTCCACCCCTTCTACTGCACGCGTGTGCACAGACAGATGTAGCACAAGGGGGTGGGCTTGGATACAGCTGCCTCCTTTGTCCTGTGTGGCTGGGCCTGGCCCCATGGGCCTCATGGCCTCCCTCCTGCCCATCCCGGCTCAGTCGCTGCAGGCCAAACAGCGAGCCCTGCTACAGCAGCTGGACACCCTGGACCAGGAGCGTGAGGAGCTGAGGGGCAGTTTGGCTGAGGCCGAGGCCCAGCGGGTCCACGCGGAGAAGCAGCTGCAGCACGTGCAGAGCGAGAGGGAGCAGGGGCGGTGCCAGCTCCAGGCCCAGCAGGTGTGAGGGGGCAGGGGCGGTACTTCCCTTTCTCTGGAGGAATCTCCAGCCAGCTAAGCAACTGCGGGCCTGCCCCGTGCCTGGGGAGTGGAGGTGATGGGGTGTCCCCAAAGGGCTGGGAGCCTGAGCCTCCCCTGCCCTAGGAGCTGCTGCAGAGCCTGCAGCGAGAGAAGCAAGGCCTGGAGCAGGCAACAGTGGATCTGCAGCTGACCATCTCGGAGCGAGAACGCGAGCTCGTGGAGTTGAGGGAGCGGGAGAGGCTGCTGGTGGCCTTTCCGGACCTGCACAGGCCTGTGGAAGCCCAGATCCAAAGTAGGGGCCCGGGGTTGGTGCAGAGGGCACGCCGGGGCTGGGAGCAGGCAGCTGAGGGCTCATCAGGGCAGGACACAGGTCCACGGCAAGGGTGGCAGAGCCCCCACAACACACAGGTGCTCTGCGTGTTACCCACTCCTCTGTGTGGATGGGAACACAGAGGCCCAGTGGGGAGCTGACTGCTCAGGGTCACACAGCCAAATCCAGACCCAGGTCTGGCTACCTGTGTAGCCTGTGCTCTTTACCACGTCACAGGCCAGTCCTTGCTCAGCTTCCATGTCCCCTGTCCTGGCATCTCCCCAAACTACACCATGGGGCCAGCTCCAGTGGCACAGCCCCAACTGTCCAGTGTCCATGGGAGTGCTAGGGACCCATCTCAGTGGAAGACTGACTGCCCAGCGACCTGGGTTCTTGTCCCAACCCCTCCAGTCCCCTGAAGCTCTGGGGTGAATCCCCATGTAGAGCTGTTGGGATGATCCACTGCAATCTAGCTTCTCATGATAAGTCATCACTTGTGAGTGCTGGGCCCTTGTGTTACCCTGTCAACCGCCCCGTGAGGCAGGTAGCAGCCGCTTGTGACAAACCAGGAAACTGATAACCAGAGCAGGCAGCACCTTGCCTGGGTTCAGAGTAAGGGGGAGCATCTGTCCCCCCAGGAGTGGGGAAGAACATCCTTGCTGAATTCCTAAGACTCATATCCAAGAGCCGGCTGTGGCTTTGGATGAGTCACTGTCTCCCGGGCCCTCCAAAAGCAGGTGGCCTTGGAAGAGCTTCGCTTTCTTACCTATGTGCTAAATTTTTGGTGAGCTCCAGGTCCCCCTCAGCTCAAATTCTGCAAGGCTTTGGTCACCTCCCAGCAGGCAGGGGCGTAGGGAGTGCAGGGGGAGGGGGAGAACAAGGCCTCAGGAGAAAAAAAAAAAGAGGTGGGAGGTCCAGTATGCTGACCCTGCCCACCTGCAGGGGTGGCAGGGGACCCTAGGCACGTACCGGCTGGCGTGTCTGCCCTCTGAGGTCCTGTCTCGTTGGGCACAAGAGGCAGACCTGATGGGGTGGGGTGCCAGACAGTGGGTCTCCACAGGCTCTGGCAATGTCACGGACGACATGGAGAAGCAGGTGCAGGCCAACGACATCCGTATCCGGGTCCTACAGGAGGAGAACGGGCGGCTGCGATCCATGCTGTCTAAGATCCGGGAGGTGGCCCAGCAGGGGGGCCTCAAGGTGGGCAGCATGGCCCCCCCACCTGAAAGGGGCCAGCCTTTGGGGACTTGGAAGAGGCCCCCAACCCAGCAGAGGTCTTCAGCTTCCCCCAGGGAATCTGCCGTCAGCCCAGCTCATTGCACATGGGGCTCTCAGGTGGCTTTAGGCTGTGCTTTTGTGAACCATCTGCCACGATTCAGGAAGGCATGAGGATGTTACCATGCCTTCTAGCTCCAAATCCTCCCTCTAGCCCTTTGAACCTTTATTTCAAGTGCACCAGGAGCCTTGTGAGAAAGCAAACCTTCCCACCCTTACCACGGCTAATGACAGGCCCTGGAAGGCTTTCCAAACCCTGCCCCTCAGAGGAAGGGGCCGTGGTGACAGGTTCAGGCCCTCCCACCTCCCCTATGACACCCTCTCTGTTCGCTGCAGAGGGGATCCTGGGCCTTTCTGAGCTTGGTTTTCTTTGCAGCTGATCCCACAGGACCAGCTCTGGGCCCCTCCCAGCAAGGGAATCCACAGAGCAGCGCCCCCAGCCCAGGCCCAGAGAGCATCTCCAGGGTGAGTGAGGCTTTGTCAGAGGCAGGGCACGTGGGGGTGGGGTGGTTCCCCTCGCTCACAGGGGATCTTGCCATCTGGTCCTCCCTCAGGCCCCTGGGTAGGCAGCACTCACCTGGCAGCAGGACGGCCAGTGCGGGCAGGACCCTGCTGGGCCAGCCCCAGGCCTCCCCGCCTCGGCAGCCCTGCAGTCAACCCAGCAAGTCCTCCCTAGAGGATGTGACCCACTCGACCAACTGTGCCCAGAACCCCATCCGGGCCTTGGCCAGGCTGAGAAGGAGACTGTCACCAAGCCGGGGCCAGGCCGGCCCTGCATACCAGCCCCAGGAGCGGCCCACATAGCCTGCATTGGGGTGGGGCTGGAGGGCGGGAAGCTGGCAACCCACCCCATGTAATAAAGCCCAGGCCATCTGCTCACAGCGACCTTGGCCTCACCACACTGGCTCAGCAGGGTAAGAGTCCTTCCTTCCCTGTCCTGAGTCCCCAGCCATGTGGGTCATTGGCCAGCAGAGGTCTGGCACACTGTGCACCCTCAGTAAATGGGAGCTTCCTGCCTCCCTCCTGACAGGGGCAGTGGAGGAAGAGGACACACTGAGGGCAGAAAGAAGCTTCTAGCACCTGGGCGATGTGAAAGGCAGTCTTTTGATCCCCACTGCAAAGACTAAGGGGTAACATGGACTCAGTGACCCCCACCAATAGAGCAGGGTCAGGGTAGGGGATGCGCAGGGGAAGGAGAGCAGCCGCCACGGTGGGCCCAGTGAGGACACCTGAGGCAAGGAAGGAGTCAGAGGCCGGGGTTCTGGCTCAGGCTCACAAAGGCAGGCAGGGACCACCCAGCTGTGAACCTGGGGATGGGGACATTAAGGATCCAAGGAAATCAGCCCCCCTTTCACTGCGGAACGCCTCACCTTCAGGAAACACAAGTCAGAAAGGGTTTCTCTAAATCCAGGAGGTTGGATCCCCAGGAGGCCACTGAAGGCAGGGCAAGGCTTCACCCAGCCAGAGAGCGGGACACCCCAAGCCAGCCCTGGCTTTCCCAGGCCTGTCCCTTGGGGCCAGGGCACTGATGCTGCCAGGCACACCAGGCCTGCAGTAGTCCAGTTTTCCTCACGAAGCCTCCAGCCTGTCCTGAGCCACCCCACCTGTGAGGGACAGACGCTAAGACCTTGCTGAGGAGCTCTGGGTGTGGGGGTGGGATGGGGGATGCTCTTGGCTTTCTATGACAGTTTTCCCTGGTCAGGAGCACCTCAGTTTACAGAGAAAAGTCAAGAAGGGCTGTGTATGTAGCTGGACTAGCATGGCCACGGGCTGCCCAACTCTTGCTTCTGTGGAGCCTGGGGGCTTGCTGAGGGAGCCTGGGCTGTCTGGACTGGGCCCCTCCCAGGTGAGAGCCAGCCCTCAGGTGTGCTCCCTGAGGCAGGGGGCCCAGGCCCAAGTGCAGAGGAAGGACCTGTCACAGCCCGGCTCCTCTCTGCATCCATTCAGTAGCTCACAGGTCTGTAGGTCAGACGTCCAGGCCCTGTGTGGGTGGGTTCTCTGCTCAGGGCCTTACAAGGCTGAAATCAAAGCATCTGCCAGGGGCTTTCCTGGTGGCGCACTGGTTAAGAATCCGCCTGCCAATGCAGAGGACACGGGCTCGAGCCCTGGTCCGGGAAGATCCCACATGCCGCGGAGCAACTAAGCCCGTGCGCCACAACTACTGAGCCTGTGCTCCGAAGCCCAAGAGCCACAACTACTGAAGCCCACATGCCTAGAGCCCATGCTCCACAACAAAGAGTAGCCCCCGCTCGCCGCAACTACAGAAAGCCCGCACACAGCAACAAAGACCCAACACAGCCAAAATTAAAAAATAATAAAATAAATAAAGCATCTGCCTTTCTTTTGCAAGGGTGTGGGGCAGAATCCAGGCTCATTCTGATTGTGGGCAGAATTCTGGTTCTTGCAGCTGTCGAACTGGTGTCCATTTCCTTGCTGGCTGCTGTCGGGGCTACTCTGGGCTCTGAGAGGCCATCCAGCTTCTTGCCACATGGCCCATCCATCTTCAAGTCAGCAACAGAGAATTTCTCAGGCATTGAATCCCCTCCATGGTTCAAATTTCTGAATTCCTCTCCTTCCACCAGCTGGAGAAAACTCTCTTTTAATGGGCTCACGTGGTTAGGTCAGGCCCACTTGGATGCTTTCCCATATTAAGGTCAACTGTGCCATATAACATAACCTAATCATGGGAGTAAAATCCATCAGCGTCATAGTGCCACGATCACATAAGGCGTGTCCATGAGGGCTGGGGGAATCTTGGGGGCCATTTTAGAATCCGCCTCCCATGGGCAGTAGATTCCAGGGCAACTTGTTTATCTTAAAACATCCACACAAATTTTACATCTTATGTTAAAATATATCCATGTTTAATATTAAATCTCCCGTACCCCAAATCTAAAAAAACGGATGCCCCTGTAAGATGTACCACATTTATCCTGTGGCTTCAAGTATCCTGGTCAGCAACCTGTAACCCCAGGGAGAAGCACAGGACTAGATAGTTTCTAAGGCCCCTGGTCCCAGCCAGGCCCCAGACACGCCATGGGACCTGCAGCAGCCGGTACCCAAGGACCGAGGGTTAGCAGGCAATGGAAGGGCCGCTAGGTTTAACATCATAGCCTTCAAGATGTGTCATGGAATATGGTCAGGTTAGAGTGCCCCCAAGGCCAGATAGCTCCTCTCCCAACCCACCCCCAATAAATAAGCACAAAACCTGGCCACTGCAGCCTCAGCCCCCAGGGATGCCCTGACAGGCAGGCCAGAAAGCTCCCAGAGCCCTGGGAACAGCAGCACTGCCCACACCCTCTTCCCCAGGTCCCTGGCCAAAGTCCTGGGAGCTGTCTGAGCGGAGGGCAGGCACACCCCAGGATGGCAGAGAAAGGCCCCAAAGCAGCCTCTCTTCCTGCCGGGTCTGGGCCCTGCATCCTCAGCCTGGGGACTGTGGTCCCTCCATCCCAGTGTGGATGTGGTGGGCACCTTGCCCCTCAGCAGGGGAGGCCCCTATCCCTCCTTCCACCCATAGGGTTTGCTGTCCTGTTCCCCCTGCCGTCTTGTTCCAGGCACCCAGGGCCCAGGGCCAGGATGCAGGTGAGGGGTCCCTTCCCCACATGCAGAGATCCAGCCGGGGCAGCTAATCATCTGAGTAGCGGTTCCCTGCAGGAGAGGAGAAAAAATATCAGGGAGGGAGGTGTCAGGTGGGAACCAGATGGAGACGGTCAAGGGCCCCCATCCTTGGTGCTCACCCAGGACGTTGAATTTGCACAGCGGGCAGGTCTGCTGGAGCATCAGCCAGGGGTCCACGCAGTCTCGGTGAAACTCATGCTTACAGGGCAGCACCCGGAGCCACTGCAGGGTCGGGGAGAGGGCTCAGGCCACAGGCATAGGCCTCCAGTGCGGGTAGCAGGCCCCACGCCCACACCTGAGCTGGGGAACTGAAACCCCTGTGACCTGCCCCACCCCCATGCTGCTTTCCATAGCTCTGGTGGGGCTGGGTGAAGGCCTGGTTGGGGTACTTCTCAGGTCTCTTGGGAGCAGGGTGGGGGGCATCACGTGTCAGCCGAAGGCTGGCCTCTGCCCAGGGCACTAACTTGCTTGTTGCAGAAATAGTCCAGACACACGGCACAGGTCTCAGCACCAGGCTCCAGGGGGCCCTGTGCTGCCTGGCCCAGCCGGCAACGCCGGGTCTTGAGGGACGCCAGCCTCTGCACCACCTGGCGCTTGAGCAGGTCCACCTGTGGGGGAACGGCACACAGTTCCCGAGGGCTGGGGACACCAGGGCTCCCGAGGGCCCCCAAGGCCTGGCTCCCACCTGGCCTCGGGGCTCCCGCTGGCTCTGCCGGGATGCCTGCCGCTGAGCTTGGACCACGAGGCCTGTGCACAGGAGCATGGCCACCAGCAGGATGGTGTTCCACAGCTGTTGCAGGGGCTTCTGGGGAGAAGAGCAGGGTGTCAGGGGCACTGGGGCCACCCCATCCTCTTCACCCAGTAAATCCACCCCAAGGACCAGGCAGATGAGGTCCAGGGCACCATGACCCCGGAGGCGCCAGGCTTCCTCTTCTGAAGCTGCTGTCCCCCGCCCCCGCCCCGTGCTCTCTCAGGGGCTGCCCCAGATCCACCCTACATCAGTGCTCAGCCCAGGCCAATCCTGGGCAACAAACCTGGTGTTTGTGCACTCACAGAAGCATCTACTGGCAGCCTCACAGACTCCCCAACCCAGGACCCCCAACCCTACCCAGCACTCCTCCTGGTCTGCTTTCCTGGCTGCCATCACCCACCCACCCACGCCCATCCAGGCTGAGCATTCACAGCCTGAGAGGGCGCTAGTCCCTAGGCCCCGTCTCCTCACTCCCTAGAGGCCCCGCACGCCCCTCCTCTCCTCCCCACTCTGCGGCTCTTCAGGTGCCCTGCTCAGGCCTCACCCGCCCAGGTCCCACCCACAGTCACAGGGATCTCACCTGCAAGCCCGATTACACAGCACCCCTACTTGACCCTTCCCTCTGACGCTCCCCTCCCGCCTCCTCCGCACTCCCCATCCTCAGGAGGAGACCCAAACTCTTCTACCAGGGGGCCCTCAAGGCCCTTGATCTCCAGCCCTCCCCCCTCCCCCATCCCACGCTCCCTGCCCCTCCCACGTCTCTGCCTTTCCACACTGTTCCAGGTCTTGGGAACTAATGCTCTTCTTCCACGCTCCCTCCCTTGGCTTATGGCTTTGGACACCTCTTGCTCTGGAAGCTCTCCCTGACCAACCCTGCCAGGCAAATGTTCCCCCCTCACCTCAGCCCTCCCCCTCCCCCATCCCACGCTCCCTGCCCCTCCCACGTCTCTGCCTTTCCACACTGTTCCAGGTCTTGGGAACTAATGCTCTTCTTCCACGCTCCCTCCCTTGGCTTATGGCTTTGGACACCTCTTGCTCTGGAAGCTCTCCCTGACCAACCCTGCCAGGCAAATGTTCCCCCCTCACCTCCCCTGCCACCCTCCTCATACCCACTCTGCCCTCAGCGGTCCTCCAGCTCCCGCTGGTGGGAGGGAACCACGTCTGAGGTACCTCACTTCGCCTTTGAGAGGCCCCCAGGGGGACACATTGACCTAGACTGAACTGCCACTATATCCAGTGCGGCAGACAGGCTGTGACCACTCAACAGCTGACTCAGGAGGTGACACAGCGGAGGAAGCAAAACCCAGCCGCTGACCCACCAGCACACGGGCCTGCGGACGTGTCACAACTAATAAATGCATTCATTTAAAAGTTTTACGCCACCGTGTTCTTCCCCAGCCAATGCTGAAGTTCAACTGCCAACACGTGGTGGAAGAGGGGCTGAGAAATGATTTGATGGGCAAGGTTGGGTGCTGTTAGGGTCACAAGATGTTGCTTTGGTTCAGGGTGGAAGCACTCTGGGGGCCACTGCCAAGAGGGGTCTGTGAGCCCCAGCTTCACACTCTGTCCCACCCTCGCCCCCTGGCTTGTGTCCACGTCCCCTTTCGTCCATGGTGGGATGGTGACACCTGCTCAGGAAGCTCTCCCGAAGGCCCTAGGCTGAGCTCAGGCGCCTTCACCATGCCTGGAGGGCCATGCCCCTCACCAGCTCAGTAATCACCCCAGCAGGTGACAGTGTCTCTGGTCTAGTTCCTCCCCTAATAGGGCCGCATGAGCCCAGGGCTGGAGCTGCCCTGTCCTCATACCCCCCGCCATGCTGAGCCAGGCTGACACGTGGCAGGACTCGCACAACCTTTACACTGTAAGCTCTCTGGGGCAGAACCTGGAGCTCTGTGCTTTGGAGCGGCCAGTGAGTTCTGGGTGGGCCGAGGGTGTGGCTGGCCTGGAGCTCTACTGGAGGCCAGAGACCCCATCTCCTCAGGCTTGGTGCATCTTGGGGACCCCCAGGTAAGGAGGGAGGGCAGGGTTGGGCCTTGTCCATCAGAGCAGTAGGACATGGTCCTCAGACTTTTCTGATACATGGTGGCTACAGCTCTGGATGCCCAGAGGCTGGAGGAGTGGTGACTGGGCCCTGAGGCTGAGAGCTGGCCCTGGCTGTCCTTCAGACACCTCAGCTACCGTGGGCTCCCAACACCTGTACTGGCCCACCCCAGCCAGGAGCAAGGCCAAGGCTGTTCAGCGTTGCCCTCACAACCAGCCAGCCTGACCTGACCTACAGTACGTGCCCACCTCCTGGCCTCTTGGGCACGCTCCCAGCCTGCTCCTCTCTGAGCTCCAGGCTTTCTGCCGGCACCTCCTCCCAGTCTCTCATCTGACAGCCCCTCACCAAATGCCTGCCCCTCCCAGAAGTCCATGTGGGCTGCCCTCCAGGGGGAGAGAGGGCGGGCTCTCTCCTCTTCCAGAAAGCCCTTCCTTCCACTCCTGCAGCCTCACTCCCCGCTCCCTCTGCAGAACTGCGGTTCACGCTGCTCAAGCGAAATTGTGCTGTCTGGGCTGCCTCCGTGTTAAGTTCCTCTTCTCTGCCCATCTTTGAGGCCTTGAACGGCAGAGCCCGGGGCTTCCAAGGCCTTTAGTACCCTCCACAGCCCTTCTCACGGACCCCCAAGTGTCCTGGAATATCAGAACAGTCACCTTTGGTGACTGTTGACTTATTCGAGCACTCATAACAATAAAGGTACCGTAGCAGAGCAGCTACCCATCTGCTCAGTGCCTGCCGTGAGATTTACATACACGATCTCAACAATCTTGTGGCCGTGTGCTATACCTGTTCACAAATGAGGAACGTGAGACCAGAGGTTAAACACACAGCCTAACATCACTCAGCTAAGGTTTCAGAGCCTCATTCCAAGTCTGCCTGACTTGAAGCTGCCTTGCACGGCTCCCCATCCACCGAGGCATGCTGGAGGCTGCGCGTCAGGAGAGCAGGGAAAACCTGCCCTGCAGAGTGGGGATTTGAGAAATGCTTGCAGACACAATACCTTTGACCCTCTCTAGGCCAAGCACTGGGAAAGCCAGAGACAAATAAGACACAGCTTGGCCTTCGGGAGACAAAGTCAGAGTCCCCAACGGTCACACAGGATGGGCTGTCCTAAGAGGCCTATGAGGGGGCTTCCCTGGTGGCACAGTGGTTGAGAATCCACCTGCCAATGTAGGGGACACGGGTTCAATCCCTGGTCTGGGAAGATCACACATGCCGCGGAGCAGCTAAGCCCATGTGCCACAACTATCGAGCCTGTGCTCTAGAACCTGTGAGCCACAACTACTGAGCCTGCGCACCATAACTACTGAACCGCATGCCTAGAGCCCATGCTCCACAACAAGAGAAGCCACGACAATGAGAAGCCTGTGCACCACAACGAAGAGTAGCCCCAGCTCGCCGCAACTAGAGAAAGCCCACACGCAGCAATGAAGACCCAATGCAGCCAGAAATAAATAAGTTAAATAAATAAACTTCTTTTAAAAATTAAAAAAGAATTTAAAAAAATAAAAATAAAAGCAGTAGGGGGGCTGGGGGCCCAATGTGAGGGAGGCTTTCCAAAGAAGGCAGGAGGATGAGTTGTGAGGGCTCTGGCTGGACTGGGACATACAGAGCTGGAGAAAGAGGATGTCCAAGCCTACAGACAAGCCCCGGTGGCAGGAGACTGGGGCGTGAGTGGAGACCGGTAAATGGTACAGAGTGGCTGGAGTGTAGGGAGAAGACTGGGAAAAAAACAGGGTGAGTGATAAGGAGAGCTGTAAAAACCAGGTAAGGAGTTTGAACTTCATTCTGCAGGTGATAGGGAGTCAAAGAAGGCTTCTGAGAGGGACAGGGACATGACAACAGCAGCAGCTAAGGCTGACTGTGCATGACCCCGGGTCAGGCACCACACAGAGCACCCACTCGGCCCCTGAACCCTCACAGCAGCCCTGGGAGGTACAAGGGGTGGTCCTCCCCACCAGGGCAGGAAGACGCCACAGGACTGGAGACAAGTCATGTGTGTGGTCCCCCCACCCCCACCTCCTCTCTCCAGGCACTCACCTGCTCCTGGGCCTGACTGCCTCCCAGGCACACCAAGTCCTGCCATCCTCCGTAGCTGTCCTTGGAGAGGCCACAGGTGGTCCACAGGGTCAGCTTCCACTCGATGTTGGCCGACAGGGACTCTCCGCTGGTGATCTCAGCCATGGCCTGGGTCCTCCTGGGAGGGGAGGCCAAAGGAGCCAGATGGAAGGGCTCTTGGGAGGAGAGGTCCAGACCCACTCACCCCAGTCTTGTGGGAAAAGGATACCCCCAAGTATCACCCCACAGCCCTTCTGCTCTGGCCCCCACGCCTTTCCCAGTCAGTGGTTTTTCTAGTTCTCATAACAGCCGGCCAAGGAGGCCCTCAAGCACAGGGAAGAGTCAATCAGGATCTGGCTTCCTCCTTGCTGGAGCCAATCACCTCCACCTACAGAGCCCATAGAACCATCTCCTTCTAGTCCCCTCACCCGTTTTTCAGACTAGGAGGCTACAGTCTCAGACTAACAGGGAAGGCCCTGGTCCCAGGACCCCTATGCCCACGAGAAAGCCAAGGACCCTAGCACCCAAGCCCAGTCCTTTGAGCCCAAACCCCAACTCACTGCAGCAGTGCCTCCAACAGCTTGGTGACATTGGAAGAATAATGGAGGACGATCACTGGCCTGAGCAGAAGTTGGGATATGTCCAGCTGTAGGGGGACAGGGAGGTCAGCCAGGCCGGGTCACCCATTCCCCGGCCTACGTGCCCCGAAAGCCTGATCCGGTTTACCTCTCGGACCACGTTGTGGTTCAAGATGAGGAGAAGCAAGGCAGAGGCTCCCAGGAAGAGCGCCCTCCGCATCTGCAGGACAGAGGCAGAGGCTAGCACACACCCTGCCCACACACCTGTCTCACCACCTGTGGTCATAGCTGTTCTCAGCTCCTGGCTCTGTCGTTAGCGTTTCCTCTATACAGATCAGCTATAAGCTCCCTGAGCTCAAGGGCAAAAACCCTTACTCCTCTCACCTTCCCCCCAGATGCTCTGTGGGACCCAAATAATACTGTGCCTTCCCTGGTCCAAGCAGGGCAGGCTTGCCCACCGACCCCCAGCAGGAACTCCCCACTGGATACTCTCAGAGTCTGGTCGAGCTTCCTGCCTCTCTCAGGCTTCCTCCCACCTCCCTGCTGCCAACCACACTGACTCCAGTCTACCCCTGGGGTCCCTTGCCCCAGCCAGGCCCAGGGCTTCTCTGGAAGCTCCTTAGGGGCCCACCTGGTAGTCTGGCTCTAGCAGTTGCCTTGAAAACCCTTCCTCCAGCCCCCTTTCCACATATACCCCCTGCACCTGCGGAACCAGAGCCTTAGGATAGGCCTGTGGGCCGCTGTCCTGACTCTCCCTGCGAACCTGGGCCTCCTGCTCCTTGCCCACGTATGCCACTGCAATCCAGGCTTCTACGGGCACCTCCTGCTCAGCATCCACGATATCCATCTGTGGGGCGAGAGGCCATGGTAGGAGGAGGGGGAGGAAGGGGGATCGGTCACACAAGCGATGCAAGGCCAGGGTTTGGGAATGAGTCTGGAGGGGAGAGCATTTGATCTCAGGTTCTGGAAGCCGGAATGCTGGGGGCCTGGGCAGCCTGGGGAAGGGGCGCTGGGCTGACAGGGCTTGGTCCAGGCCGAAGGCTGGATCTGGGTGCAGGGTCTACGGCGGGGCGGGTGCCATATGGCTCAGCGGCGCTCACCAGCAGCAGGCGGCCACCCAGAGGGAGCGCCGGGTCGGCCTCGGGGCCAATCCTGACGCCCTCCAGCAACAGAGCGTCCTCCCGCGGCAGCCTCACGTCCACCCGCACGGCGCGGGCCCCGCCCCGCCCCGCCCTGGCAGTGGGCTCGCT